TATGCTGACTTTTAAATTGCATGCTGCAATCTATTCAACCACCTTCCCCAAAAGGGGCCTGTAGTTCCCCAGATTGTTCTTCAGACCTTTCTAAGATACAGGAGAATGTCCTAAACGTAAGACCTAAATAGTTTGAAACCCTTCTTGCAATTCATAAGTAAGATCTTAGAATACTAGTTCTCTGTTTTTCTGTCAGCACAAGTTTAACTTCTCAGCAGTGCACTCAAATGTCGTATATAAAGGCATTCTCTGTAGAATCTTTTTTTGAATCTCTACTTATCTCATATTTCAGGCATTTTTTTATTTTTTTAATGCTTGCTTAGTTGATATATCTTTTTAAACTATTACATCTATATTTTTTAAAGAATTATGAAATGAATGACAGTTCACAATCCTAAATATTGCCCAGAAAGGAAGAGAGATAAACCACTTGTCAAAGTCCTGAATTTTCCAAATACAGAGAAGTAACGCAAAACACATTTCTGAAGTCACTACTGATTTACTAGCCTTTGGTTTACTAGCTAGGTTGTCCTGTGAAACATCTGTATTATTTGAACCTGATGATGACTAGCCAGAAGCCCTTAGCAAAAATCTAAGGAGTCTTCAAAAAAAATCTGTTATTCTAGAAATACAGAAAGGAGGATGTGGTAACGTTCTACCTGATATAAAATATTATTGTTGATTAAGGTGTTACAATCCAGTGATCCTCTATGTAGAAATATTTTGACAATGAACTAACAATAATGCTCAATAAGTAGTAGAAGATGAGTGTCAGTTAATCTAGGAGCATCACTTAAAAAAACAATCAGTAAGAGTTAGGCGTTACGCATGACTTTGAAAATGTTGACAACAGGCCAGTGTTTTCATTAATACAGTGAAAGCAACCATAAAGCAGGTATGTCGCTCTAAAAAGCACTGATAGACCACAGGTTTAATTATCCAGCACATACAATGTTAGTGCAAAAGACAATGCTTGATCTGTCTTCTAAGGAGTCTCTAACTCCTGCTGCTGTCAAATTTTCTGAAATTTTAATTAATGAAAGAGACATAGCTATATTGTCCTGCATTTTATTCAGACCTTTTGCTTGAAAATTACATGAAGGAAAACTGTATCTAGCCTTGAAGAGGAAAGAGATGCTCCTTAAACTTTCCTCATGAGGCTCTATAGGGCAAGACTTGCTGTAAGTATGAAGGAAAACAAGAGAGTCTAAACAACATGACAAAATTAAATTTGAAAAGGGAAGGAAGAGAAAAGAAAGAGATGGAAGAAACTGAAATTCCTTTACTTGTATAGATTTTTGTTTGTTTCAGAAAGGAAGAAACCTTCCTTATCAGAAGCTTTGTTTACTTTTACAACCTTATTTCTTATTGGAAGCTTTTTTTACTTCTACACGGTAATACAAAGAGTTTGGCTCTAGTCCCTCAGGACCATAAAGACCATAAACTGGGGAGGGGGGAAAAAAAATAACAAGTTATTGGAAGAAGATATACCCAGAAGCATTTTAAACATTATATAATTGTCTGAAACTATTCAGTTGAGAGGATAAAAGGCTATTACTATTTCTATAAATGTAAACATTTTGTGTGTAAGCATTTATTAGTAAAATACTGATTTTCAAAAATTCAAAAGATACTGAAGTAAAACACTAAGTTATGTTTAAAGTTAATTCAAATTAGGTAGTGATTTCCAATTGTTCAAGTACACAATTCTTAAATTCCTCCAAGCTGAAAATCCTAGTCTTGAGGCACAAAGAAAAGTTTAATCCTCATATATAATAAAAGAGTAGTCATGATCTAAAAATCTAATGTTTTCTATAATTATTTATGAATCATAAAAGATCTCCAAGACTTAAAGTCTATTTTTATTACATAAGCTTTTTGCTGAAAAAGATTCAAACAAAAAGATTAATTCAAACAAAGCAAGGTGAAAAAAATGTTATTTTTAATGGTATATAATAATAACAAATTACCTCCCAGTGGATTTTTCATTTTCATTTATAAACCAGTATATTTTGCTGTTTTTAGAACTCAATGATAAGAATGTTTTGAAGTAATTTTGGAGCTGTAGAATGTTGAACAGAAAAAAGAAAAATTATGCATTTTTATTCTTTCAGTATCTGCTAGCTATAGGGCAACATAATTTACACACTCACACTATATACCTTATCCAATATAATACAGCACCATATCAACTTTTATCACCTGAGATCAACCTGAAATACACAAAATTTGTCATTAAGTTTAAAGCCAATTCAATAAATCTACCCTTGAATAAATTTCTTGAATGAAAGGCAACAATTCAGTATAAAGAGTACTTTTGAAGAATGTATCCTTGAAAGATGGAATAACCCAAATTTTAGCTCACCTGGAAATATCTAACACCCTTATCTTGAATTAACCAGAGATGAAGGTAAAATATTGAATGAAAAATTGTAGCAATGAAATCAGGCTGCTACCTGGAGAAATTCAATTGAATTTCCACAGGGAAATCTCATCTATAGCTGTTATGAATATTTCTTTTCCATTTGCAGCTAGAGAGACTACTGTCTTTTCCAACAAGAATTCATTATCATTCAGCTGTCAAAGTGAAGGAGTCATTGAACTAATTTTTAAGCATCTATCAGTTAATCAGAAGGAAACTAGTCACTGTTTGGAGACCAATATCAGAATGATGGCATATGTGAACACTGAGTAAAAAAGTGGAAGAAGAAATGCAAGTAAACTATGGAAAAGAGATTGAAAACAACACAAAGCCTGAAGGAGACTTCAGTCTTTGTTCACAGTATAGAATTTCAAGCCTGAGACTGACATGACATGCTGAGCTCTATTCTGATAACATTGCCTTAATTTCACTTAAACTTTTGAGTCTACGTAATTATTTAAAGTTACTAAGCAGAGATTTAAACAGCTTCTTTAAAAATTTAAATTCTATTTGGTACTTTTATCTTTATATAAATTGTGCATCTTCTTTTCTACACTCATAATATACCAAAATTATCCAAGAATAATTGAGTCTGTTAGATCATTTTATATAAAACAAAACCTTTTTAGCACTTTAAAAAATAATGGAAAATAAAGACTTAAAGCTAAGCTAACTAGCCCATGTGAAGTACTAACCATATAAAAACATCAAATATGATAACTGTATTTGGAATTTTCTTAATTATTGTCACCTGAAGTTTGACTTGCTAATAAAATGTACCAATAACATGCATGCAAATAAAGGGCACAGATGCATAAATAAATTGCATGTATTCAAGTAGGTTACAAAATAAGATTAGATAAAAACAGAGAAAATTTTAAAGGAAAAGCTTCAAAACTGAGAAACTGTGAGAGATTAGTAAAAGTTGTGATCCCAGTTAAGAATTTAGATTACATCTTCCATTAGGCACTAGCACAGTATATAACCTTTTTTCACTCCTAAGTAAACATCATTTCAAAAGGCAAAATAAATTTTGATATAAGTTTAGTTATATGTTATCTGTGGGAAAAAGGAACATACGTCTGCTATCAAGAGGAAAGGATTGGAAAAGTTCCAGTTCCACATACTTAACTGCTGAACTTCTTCAAATGCTTTTTATTTCAAGATTATATTAATTGGAAAATTTAGGAGGCCATACTTATCCAAGAAATCTTTAGGGGCGAATAATAAAAACATACCAAAATGTGATTTTTTTTTTGCTTCTGAAGAATTATATAAGAAATACTTCCACAATATCCACCCCAATTGTTGAAAATTAGTTCCAATCATTGAAAATTAGTTCCAAATGATGATGTTATTTAACAACTATCAAATCTAATAGCAATGAATACTTATACATTTATACATGTGTGCAAATATGCATGGATAGAGATGGACAGAGAGTTTAGAAAAATGTCTGTTTAATTTCTAAGTATGTATATAAGGTATAATACATACACACATTTAAAGATAATATAAATATAATGCTCCCACACAGTCATCTTAAAAGTGTGGTTAGGCATAATCAGTATCTGTTGCAACAGCAATACCAGATTATTATTTACTAGAAAAGCAAGAAGATAATAACCTTCCTAGTAAATATGAATATTTTGATTAGCACATGTTCTGCCCATCTGCTGAAATCCTACAGCAAATTGAAACAAGATTAGTGAATATTTTTATTTCAGCTATCCATGCACTTTCTGCCACTATTAGCAGGTTTCACTTGAATTAGCCATAAAATTGTCTCCCTTTCTTCCTATGTGACAGTGATGTGCAGAATATGTTTTATCTCTGTTTGACCAAATGCTACTATTATTTGAAGCAATCTGCCCAAATGCGAAAAAGGACAATGACATAATTTTCAAATTTACTAAAATGCTCCCAAGAAACTGAATTTAACTGGCATGATCAACTGGGAACGTATGCTTTGAAAAACAGGAAGGCACTCCTGCCTTACTCATTTACAAGTAATTGTTATGGTATACATTTTGACACACATTGCATTAATTTGCTGCTTTAGTATATGTTGAGATCTGTTTGCACTTTATTGTTACTATTTCAAGAACGATATTCCTGTTCTTGCTGTATATCAAATAATTCATATTAACACTCCATACAGAAATTCCTCTATGAGAAAATCTCCGATCCACTATAAGAAGATGAAACCTGGCTTCTACTGATTAAAAAAAGATGTAGACTTTTGTCACAAAAAATCATATATTTTTTCTCAGAAATAAATTCTGAATACTATCTCTTCTATATTTTGACTTAGGCATATGCCATGGAACAGCTAATCCAGTTTGGTAGAAACAAACACTACCTATAGGCAAAACAGAGATGCAGAACAGTCTTTGTTTAACAAACACATTCTACACTAACGAAATCATTGATGTGAAGCTACTTGCATTACTTTTTTTAAACAGCTGCATATTCCAAAACAGTACTATTCAAATGGCATTATCATAAAATTTTCACAAATAGTATAGACAGAATTGGAATCCAAACTGATAATAGAAGGCTTCAAAAGTTAACTTACATGATCAATTAGTTCACGAACCATTCCGTTCCACTGTCCACTGGCATCTTCCTGGGCTCCGTATTTTCCATCCTCCACCAGTCTAATCTCATAGGAAAATCCAAGGATAGTAGACAGCTCCCTGAGCAGGTCAATGCAATAACCTTCAAATCGATCATTTCCATACAAGGGTTTGTCAGACTTTTTGAACATAACATATGGCTCTTCCTGTAAAAATTAAAAGGACAGAATGGATAATGAGTGCCCCCATAATTTTTGTTTCTTTTTAATCTAAAGTAGTACACTGGCATTATAACACTCCCTGTACAAAGAACTAGAATTAAAAGTAGAATCCTTTTAGATTTTGGTTATGTCTGTCTAAAGTCTTTATTTACCTTCAAACTGAAGTTAGTCAAAAGACCATCTTTCTCATTTTTATTAAAAAAAAAGAAAAAAATTACACTGAAACACTACAGACGTATCTTCAAGGAATACATATAAAACCAAATTTAAGTGTCCCTTTTAACAAATTACATTATACATTAAAATCAAATACATTGTTTGTATGGACATTGTAAGCCTCTTGAAATGCAGAAACAGTGTTCTTTGGCAACTGAAACAAATTAATTCAGACCCTAAACATCAAACGTTTAAAGTATTATGATTTACACTTTTCTTTACACAAGTATTTTAGCTGTTTTCTCAATGCTTTTCCAGGTAAAGTGTAGAAAACCTACAGGAGGAGGCAAATTTCAGTGAAAATTCCTACTGTTCTGTTGCCTCAAATTATAGTCTATTTCCAAGACCGTAGCAAAACCAGGAAAAAGTTAACTCAAAATCAAATTCCATGACGTACAGTCCATGAAAATTTATTTTCTTTAAACATTTTCTTATATTTAGTTTAAATTACAATGTGACTTTTTTGCATATAGTGGTCTGCAAACAAATTAAAATAATTGACAATGTATTCATAATTATGAGAAAAAAACAACATTTAGCAAAAGATAAGATTTTTACATCTGTTTCTCAGTATAGGATAGCCTTCCTCAAATGAATGACAAAAACACAAATACCAAATGGTATCGTTTTCCACTACAATATGGCACCAATATTCAAGTTTTATTTGATAGATGAAATACACAGCTCAGTCTTTGGTCACGTGTTAGACATGTTTTTTTTCATTTTTTAGAATAATAAAAAATAAGCACCAAGTAAGGTAAGACAAATGATAGTAGATGCAATTACTGCAGCAGATATAAGTTGCAATGAATAATCAGATAAACTCTCCAGGGTAACTTAACAAAATTCATGGAGCCCTAAACCTCCACATCAGCACTCATTGGGGTTAAAGCACTTCATTCTACACACATCCAACAGCTTTAATAAAGATTTGTCAGCATTCCTGATGTAAACATGTGTCTTGAGGTGTCCCATGATTTAAGCATTATATCAGCATAAAACTGGAACTTAGCATGTAAAATTTTACTCAAAATGAAAAGGAGAGCCCAGGAAGATCTCTTGCTTTCTTTAAAGAAGTGTAAAAGGACAATTGTTATGAAATATCTCACATACGACATCTCACATATAACAACTGTAAGAAAAACGTTTTTCAGGGGAAATCAGGATTCCTTAATGAAATCACACTACTGGCCAAGCACAAGCGGTACCAAGACAAAACACAGAAAGTGCAGAAAAGTAGCAAACCTCAAGCATGAATTCTTCAATCAACAGAAACTTGAAAGAAAGTGGGGAGGAAGTGAAATGTAGCTCAAAAATGTGAAGGGCACATGGAAAAGACAAGAAAACAACAACAACAAAAAAAAACACACACACAAAAAAAAAACAAACCCAAACATAAAACTGATGCAGGGACTACATGCTTTATGTGTTCAAGTTTTAAATTTATAGCATGTGCTAATGTAAAACTGGCTACTAAATACACTCTTAGGAAATTGTCTATGCATTAAACACGTGGATGACCATTGCTTCTTGGTGGATTATTACTTCCACAAAAATATTTCAGTAGGACAATTATCATTGATAATGTAGACAGGTTATTTAAATTGAATGATTGCTAGATATTAAAATATTTATTTTAACTTTGTTCATATTTTAATTTTATCCTTCAGCTCCTGAAATCATGACCCTTAAAAATCACTATAACACATCACAAAACAAGTTGGTCAGACTTGCTTTCAAAATGTTTACAAAATGTTCCTTAAGATCTTCTAAGCATTTTCAGCTGAAATTAATAGTCTTTCAACTAGACACATTTCCCTAGAGTGAAAAATAAACAAACAACAAAACCTTCCCTTTAGCATTTTCATTATGGCTTGGAATGACACGAGTAGCTTCCAGCAAAAGCCACTGAATAAGCACTGTCCATACACAAGTGCTCCAAGAAAAATATTCCTGAAAAAATCCTCATGCAGAGTCATTTCCAGAAAACATGTTTACTCTGAATTAACTTAGGCTACAGAAAATTGATTCTACCATGTATTTTTATCAAGTATTCTTGTCCCGAAATGAGAGCAACCAAAGGGAGAGTTATCGAAATTTAAAAACAACACTTTACTTCAACCTAATTAATTTTGCTTCCGGTTAAGCTTACTCTTGATGCATGAAATTTGCCAACTTTGTAGCATACCTTTGACCAGCTCAACAGTAATTACCCAAATGAAGTTTATATAAATAGAAACACTTAGAACATGAAAATAAAGAACAAGATAAAGGGCATTGGGAACAATGAAAGAGATGAAAGGGACATGGGTTAATAAATTTTTAGTATCAGTAGCTTACATCTGAAATTCAGGGTTAGATAAACTGACATTTTCTCACAAGTTTAAATCATAAAAGTTTATAAACCTTGTTCAAGAATGAGAGTCTAAATTACATAAAATCAAAAGGTTCACATATATAATTATACACCTAATTATACAGTCATATAATTCATAGTATTTAATGTAAATACTTTTAGAACAAGGAAGAAATGAAAAATGTACATGCAGTACACTCCTTCCAAAGTTCAGTGTATACCTACATCACCAAACTATCAAATTTAAAGTTTTCAAGCACTAGTTTTGCTTCAACTGTTTATACTTCATATGAGTAGCTTTGTCTCTGAAGGGAAAGTCTTCATCCCACTATTTCTTTTTAAAATAGGGGGTTTAGAGGAAGAAAAATAGCAAGCAAACAATGAAAAAGCTTTGATTCTTCAATTGAGGTATACCGCCAATATCTTTACCACTCGGGATAACAGTATAACAAACAAGTATATAGTAGGATGGAATTTTTCTTTTCCAGAAATGTTATTCTATGCCTTAGGAGTTTTTAAATACAGATGAATTCCATCCTGTGATACTCTGCAGAATTCTGCAGGATCTGAGATCGTGAAGGATAGGATCATGATCTAAGATCATGGGGGCATAGGGCTTGATTCTCAGATCATTCTAGTCCTGTGAAAGTAGGTAAATGAAAGACAGTCAATTCTAGTAACTCAAAAGATGATATAATACAAAGTGATCTTGTTTCATAAAATGCAGGTTTATGGCTAGTTAAAAAGGCATCTAATTTATGTGGCCTTTCTCTCAGCACAAGGAAAATCAATTATCTGTAAAGGAGCTACCTAGTCCAGTTGACTAGAAAGGAGTAAGTATTCATTCATTACAAAACATTATGAGAAGGAAATGAATCAGACCTAGAGAAGATGTAAGGAAGAAAAAAAGTTTTATTAAAAACCTGCTAATGATAATTTTCAGGATAAAAATAAATGAGAAGAATCAGAATCATCAGGAAAATATGCCTAGTGTCAGGTGTCCCTGCCCATCTCAGGGGGGCTGGAACTAGATGATCTTAATGTCCTTTCAACCCTAATTGTTCTATGATTCTAAAGTAAAACTACTGTAAATAAACATATGGTCACAAGGAAGAGTAAAGTAGCAGGTAGATTAAAAATTGTATCTGTAACTACAAAATAAATCCTTGAAAAGTATTTCTTGAGTAATACAGAAAAATTACTAGTTCATTCAAGATTGATATGACCCTCAAGTGACAGATGACTGCTCTTTTCATGCAAACGTTTTGTTTACATGTACTGGTGTTGAATAAAGACATTTTGTCTTATTGATAAGTTGGTGTCTCCTGGCTGCATGGTGAACTTTAAGCACCGTGATTTTTATCAGTAGCTTTATGTGCTAATATTCCATGAATATAAACAATTGGCTTTCTCATAATAACTCTCTAAATTGCATTATTTCTATAATACACAGCAAGGATACTATCTCCAAAGAGTTTTTTCTTTAGGTATGTCAATATAAGAGTTTTTCCACTACACATTTTCATGTGTTTCATTTGCAAAATTTATCTGTATTTGGTTTTGAATAAATAAGTTGAATCACAAACTTCAAGCTTCCCTACACAATAAAAGATTTTTCTTGTGTTTCTACATGTTAAATTTATATTACAGTTTTACAGACTTGTGTAATGTTTAAAATGAACAGCTAATACTTGAATGAAACACACTTATTCTATGAAACTGTGAGCATAGAAAAAAATTACTGGTTGATTTTTTTATTATCATTGTTTTGTAGACTTGATTGATATGTTTCTTTTTCAGACTTAGACAAAAAATACTTACTTGAATTATTACTGTGAGCTTATTAAATGTCAACTACAAAGATATTCGTCGAAATGGCAACAATAAATTCTACATTCCAATTTTAATTTTTATGGATAGTTATCTACATCATCAGTATTAGCATTACTATCAGTACTGAGAAAAGCAAAACAAGACAAAAGTGGAATCCCTGATGAAAACAGAAAAAACATCTTCAAAATTTGACACTGTTAGAACAGAGAATTCTAATCATTAGCTTCTGTTCACCATGGATATTGGAGTTAAAAGGCTGCCATTTCTAACTAACATGTATGTCAGATTTAAGGAATACACAACAGGCTTTCACAGTTGGCAGTCAAAATTCAAGTGGGAGAGGAGAAGCAATCCACTAGTTACAGTCAATCAAAATAATGTAAAATATTAGGCATCTCACTACTCATTTGATCTAGCCACGATATTCTATAGAAAAAACTACGACCAGACACAAAAAAACCTGCAAAATCACCTACTTCCACTATACTGTCTATAATGTACATTAATTATGAAAATCCTTATTTGACATCTAAAATATTTTCTGGATGAGTCACTAGTATGACCTTTTGGATCATGAAAC